TGCAACCAAATAAAAAGATCTTAACTGATCTTCAACCACATCAAGCCTCATCTCTCACTCAAAGCCCAGATAACAAAACTGAAGCTCTTATTTTGGACATTTTCTCAGTAGAACCAATTCATTGGAAAAGACCATTATGCTTAGAACAGTTACAAGATGGATACATTCAGAAGAATCCTGAACCAGCCATTCACGAGTACAACAGAAGACCCAAACAGAAGACAGGGGATTCTGGAGAAACACTATCCATATGGCCGCCAGGAGTCGGAATTGACTTGATGGCACTCAACAATAATAATAATAATAATAAACAGTGCGTTGTTGGCAATATCACGAGCTAATACTGATAATAACTAAAGGGCACTAATATCAACTAAGTGATATATTGGTTGGGCCCTAATGTACACAGTGTTATTTAGAAGCTGAACATTCTTTCAGCACATGTTTGAGGTTTGTGCCATTGTCTAACAGCTGCGTCTGCTGTCATTGCTAAAGAGAATCTCTCAACATGTTTTGTGACACCCTAAGAAATTTATCCCTGGCTTTAAAAAAGAAAATTGACTCAAAACCAGCTGCCATTTGCTGCTCAAACCTTAGTAAACGGGGCAAAAAAGGTAATCAGCCGCACATGTAATATCTCCACCCACTTTGTACATGGCCAGCCCTCTAATGTATATGCGTGAGGAACAGAAGAGTGTTTTTCCAGGCACACAACCCACAAACTGCACATTCAGGCTCGTACGCCATGTTTGTATAGAACATGCGGGCAAAATGCATCTGATTTGCTGCTCAACCTGGCCTGAGAGGCTCAGTACAACAGGCCCTCTGTGTATTTGTGTGCACGTGTGTATGCGTATGTGTGTGAGTGTGTTGAGATGTGCATTGTTTGGACGTGTGGAGAACATACTGTTTGTACCTAGAACAAAGTGGGAACACTCTTGGGAATGTAAACACTCACTTCAAGCTTCCGTGCCCAGACTGTCTGCTATGAACTTCCTGACACTGTCCAAATGCCATCCCGTCTGCCATGTGCTCAATATCAGTAATGAGCGCCTCTTTGATCCTCCTTATTCACTGCCATTCCAAACTTTGAAATCATTTCTCACAATAATCATAGTTGTTATTTAATATACAGCACCATGCAAAATTCAGAGACCACCATTCTTCTATCTTATTTAAATTTCAAGTCAAAATGATGTACAAGTTATCCCTTTATCAGGACAGAAGATATAAGATAATCCACTTGCATAAGGAAGAGGAAAGTCAGTTCAAAAAATTACTAAGGGTATAAAGAAAACTGGACTCCTAACAACCATGCAAGACATGGCAGACCACCAAACCAAAACTGTTCCCATCAGATAAACAGCATTTAAAGCTTTCATCTTTGAGAGAGAGGAGAAAATCAAGCTCCACTCTTGCTTCAAATCTGCAAAAATCCACAGGTGTTTCCATCCATCCTTCAACTGTGAGAAGCCAACCCAACACTATGTGTCTGAAAGGATGTGTAGCTGTCAAGAAGCTCTCACAAAAAAAAAGGTAACACATAAACAAGAAGAACATTTGCAAATCTATCCAAGCTGGTGTTCTCAGTGCAATGTACTGACCACCCCAGACACCAGACCTCAACACTACTGAATGTGTTTGGGATTACTTGGATATTGAGAAGCAGAAAATACAGATTATCAGTTTACTTTTATGGGGCATGTGTCTTGCAGTATGGTCCAAAAAAATAAAAATTAAGAACAATAAGCAATGAAATAGTCATGAAGGGCTCATGTAGATGTCATGTAGTCTTATGAACACTACACTGCCCTACAATAAAGTGTAAACAACTGTATTTACTCATGCTGAAGCTATATTAATAACTAAAGGCTGTTATCTACAAGTAGACCGCTATAGTATCAGCAAAGTTTCCCTAATTACTAGCTTTCTCTGGCGCATAATTCCAGCGCCACCACCACCTCTTTGCTCAGCTCTATTCATCCCCAACACAAGAATCATTAGCGCATGTTTGCTCTGTATCATGGAAACAAAACTGGCAGCTTTCTCCAGCGTACATGTTATCTTGTTCAAAGAATGGCTTTTGTCAGGCTCTTAAGAGCGTTCCGCGAGTTGCCATAACCGTCCGAGCGTTAGACGGCTCCCCGGCTGCGTGCTGCTCTGCAGCTCTGCTGGATAATGATTAATAAAGAGAAATGTCTGTCGCCTGTGGGGAGATTTGATGAGCTCTCGTGACAGGCCCTTTGCCGTGCTACGTTACATCATTATTTCAGACTTTATCAAACAGTCTGGAGCGGCTGAGCGGGATTCTGGGAAACAGCCTCTCGTTGTGGTGATATTATGCTGCTAGGAGACTGAAGGCCATGTTTCCGGACGCAGCATAAGCCTAATCCAGGTATAAAAATGAGGATTTGCAATGGACAATCCCCATTAATAGGGAAATTTAGCCCACAACACTGGGCTTAATCTGTGTCTGGAAACCCACCCTCCACTAAATATCCACTTAATGATGTGTGTGCTAGTTATGACTTGATTTACCTCACTCCAGGTGCGCATATTAAATGAACAAGGCTTGCCTTTAGCCAGAGTGGACCATCAAATTTTAATATGCTTTCTTTTCTGATCTTTATAACAGGATGTCTGTGGAAGTCTGTTGTTGCTAACTAACTCTTTGCTGGGATAGGGTGTAGAGCAATCCCTCAAGAAGTACACCAAGCCAACTTATCCACGTCAAGCTTATGCATACATCGTTATCCCTTCAAATGAATCCGTACAGCATAATCTGCATGTCACGTTTGACCAGCTGGCTATGCAATGTCTTAGCTTGCAGCACATCTTGAAAGGCCAGTCCAATCCATAATGCTAACACTCAGTATCTCCAGTGTAAAATCACAGCTCCACCTTATATGTACAATACGAGGACATGTGGGAGCTCATATATGATGACTAGGTTGCTTGTTCCATTTCCTTAGGTAGCAAATCCAGAGGAAAATCTCTTGCCTTTTTATCTGCAATGTCTCCATCACTGTCACCTCCCTGATTCAAGCTGACTGCTGACCTCAAGAAGCCCCCAATAATATTAGAACATACACTCTTTGCAGTTTTCATGGCGGCCTCAGCTCTCTGGAAAATACAGTCTCCTGAAACTTGCTTTTCTTTGAGGTCGTACTGTGACCCAGAAAACGCAATGATTACCTCTCTCCAGGAAAAATAACGTGAAGAGAGAAGAGTCCATGTACATCGAAAAGTGAGAACAAAACAAAACAACATGGAGATCTGACGGCAAGCCAAATAGTTGGCGACATGAGGAGAGGCGCTGCAAAGCGGGGACACTGCGGTAAACAAATGCCAGATGCCACTATTAGAATCAAAGAGCCACCAATTACTGTGGTGGGAGGAGCGAGCAACGGATCAGATGAGAGGGATGCCAGGTCGGCGAGAATACCCAGAGTTCCCTGTTGCATCAGCGGCCCATCTGAGCAGACACATCCTAGCTTAACAGGCCATAGCCTTCGTCTTTGATCCACCTAGATCAAACAAATGATGACACATGAAACGCCTGCAGGTGTGCCTTGCACAAGAAGTACCGTACCAAAAGGTGTCATGCCCATTCAAGCATGTGCCCCCTCAGTTTTTCTTTTGGTTTGTTTGTTTTTACAGAGTAATTCAATCTAAGTTATAGTATGTTGATTTCTATCCTTTCTGAGTAGCAAATGTTTCAACCTTAGTAGTAAACTTCTTTCCCAGCAGGGAACCCTAAGTGCCTTCTAGGCTGTCAGAGCAGGGCTGATTACTGTGAAATATAAAAATATAGTTCACGTTTATTTAATATAATCATTGTGATCTTTTTTTATTTAAACTCTGCAAGTATTGTAGTAATACTTTTATTTCTTGTTAGGTTTTGGTTGGAAACAAAAGTGTTAAACAGCCAAAAGAAAATTATTCAGTCAGGATATTTTTTCTCTGTCTAGTTAAATACAGCCAAGCGAGCTCTCCCATTGGTTAGGACTCCAGGACCTGAACTGAAGGCTTTATATGTCAGATTAAGCACCAACATAATCAGGAACTAACCAGTGGAATCAACCAATCACATTTTTATATGTGATTACAATGTGTGGGACCAACTTTGGGAGAAAAAAATGTCTACTCTAGGCCTTTTGAAAGTTCTAGATATGTCACTGACTGCAAATACCAATGACAGGCTCAGCAACGCATTAGTCAGTTGTTGGAATTGGAAAACAGCAGTAGCTCTAGGCCAGGAGGTAAAATACATGTTAATATTCCTGTTACAAGCTTTAGATAAAACATGGAAGCTTCAAATGTCTCTGTTTGATAATGAATTCAAATAGCAAAAAATGTTAATGTGAAGCGGCATTAGCTTAGCGCTAACAAACTATCAAAATCCTGTTCAGGCGGCAGCAGAATTTAGCATTATCACAGAGGTGTTTTGTCCTATTTTTTGACAGTTTTGACATTTATGGTCCAAACTGAAGGCCATCATGTAGTGACAGTGACAACAGGGCTTAGTTTAAAAATCCACAACTTCAATGCTACCAAATATATCAAAATTCCATGTCATTCAACACCAAATTTCAGTACCTCAGTAGCCAGTCTTATCAGTGTCCCGGACTAAACAAGCAGCTGTCTAGATGACATTCCATATGCATGTTATTGACAGCAGAACTTCTTCATTATTATATAGTCTGTTGTGGTCAGTAAATACATCCACTGCCAGCACCTCCTACTTAGCTCTGGTTTAAACCTGTTGTCTGTTTGCAACTTAAAAATTCAAAAAAACATATCTTCTTGGTATTGATTTTGAAAGGTTTCGAACAATGTCCAGCCCTAGTCACCAAATTATCACTAACCAAATAAGGATTTCATGTACTAATCAATGCTGAATTGCATCCAAAAGTTTTCAGTCTGACAAACACAAATTTAAGCTCTAAACAGTTCACCTTCAAGAAAACTGGGCGTGTGACGCCCCAGACCGTACTCACCTTTTCCTGGTACTGGCGGCGTGAAGAGTCCAGGGACTGGATGAGGGCGGTGGCATGGCCGATGAACATGGCGTAACAGGTGGCTCCCACGATCATGCTGAGCATGGTGAGCCAGATATCAGACATGCTCTCAGGGGCCTGGCGCCCGTACCCGATACACAGCATATGGCTCATGGCCTTGAACAGGGCGAAGGAGTACAACTCGCTCCATGAGTCGTTCTGCACAGACAGAAAATGAGAGAGAGAGAACAGAGAAGGAGACCAAGGTACAGCAAGTTATCATACTAGCAGTCACAAAGGATTGCTCAAGCATCACTGACAACAACAATGAATTTGAACACTGAAAAATGGAAACGGGAATTGGAAAATGTTTTGTCGTTCTTTCATAAATGATCTCTTTTCCACAGCAGCCCTAAATGTAATTTCCACCTGTTTCTGGAGGAGGTCTCTCTAGGTAATTCGTTTCTTAAATCACAATGATGTACGTAATTTTAAAAATTTGGTATTTTTACATAAATTGTTATGGCTGTATTGATTTAAAAAAAAAAACAATAATGCGGTGGGTCCACCAGACCACTGAGTAACAAAAACATGAACACCAGACAAGGGTTAAATATCTTTTTCCTCAAACAACACTCATTTGAGAAGCGGTATGGCATCCTGCATCGTCTGAACCACAGAATGGACAGATCCTCGAACACGTCAAGAACAGCAGCTGCTGAAGTACATCTGAGCAATTCTTTTTTGACTGCTGGGAGCCTGCACATGTTTCTCACCTCGCTTTCCTCCAGGATGCTTACCTTTGTGTCATAATCTTGGCTCAGGAGGAGCTCGCCATCCTCAATAAAAAAAGCCTCTGTGACTAGGAGTCTTAAAGTCTGCCCTCTGATTTCTGCATACTGCAGCAACCTGATAGATTCATTACCCACACTCTTTTGTTCAGCCTTAAAAAGGCAGTCGAGGAGCGCAGTGCTGTTTATCTTTTTAGCCAGGCTTATGTCCTGGCTCTCTTTTTCTCTCTCACTCTGTCTCTGTCTCTCCAAGACATCTGCATATGGCCTCAGCTGCTGCTCGGAGCCGCCGGCCGCCTCGTTATAAAAGCGGCTGATTTCTCCTGGACCGGCCTGATGGGTTTCTACGCAAATTTCCCCATCACGAATTTGCATTCTGTAGGCGCGGAGAGGTTAGGCGAGGAGATCAGAACACTGCATCGAGAAGATAAAGTCAAGGAGGCTGTGATTGATTTTAAATGAGGAACAGGGGAAAGGAGAGAGGGATGCTGGGGATAGAGGCTGATGGGTAATTAGGGAAATAGTGTGGGGAGGAGAGGAGAGGACTTGAGGTACCGAGACGTCTGGGAAATTGTCCTCCCTTCGCTCGGGTTCACAGCCCATTGGGCACACAGGCTACAGTGGGCAGTCACTCAGAGTGCACTCGTGTTTGTCATGCACACATAGGCATTCCCATTTGCTCACATTCGCATAAGGAATGAGAGAAAAGAGACTATTTCACAGGCAGACACTAAAGAGGTCATCTCGTCCCCTCAGAGGCTATACAGAAAGCAACAGAGTGGATCAAGTTTCTTTGTGGGTTTTTAGCTCTCGCCATCTCCAGTCCCTCCTCTGGTGCGTACAGTCGTATGCAAAGGTTTAGGCGCCCTTGGTCTATTTATTTTACTTTTCTAGGTGGAAATAAGTTGACATCCTCTACAGAGAACACACTTCTGCACATTTTAATACAAAATTACTGTTCATTGTTTACTGTTACTGTTCTGAATTGAATATATTGAATAAAAAATCTAACATAAAATGTGGCCTGTGCAAAAGCTATGGCACATTTTATATTTTAGACTTTCTTTTCAACATGTTGAAAATGTCATATTCAGGTTCAGGTTGAAGATGTGCTACATTTTCACAAAAATGAACACAATGTAATTTTACCAGTTGTGTTCAAACTTTTGCATAAAATTGTACTTTGTCAGAATTTACAAAGCTGGAGAAAGAAAAGCAATGCAGTTTTTTTTATAAAGAACTTTGTAACTAAACAATAAGTAAAAACAAATAATTTTTGTCCATTTTTATTTTTTTACACCATTCAGAAGCAACATCTACCCTTTACATAATGTGAACATTTCATGATGAATGAATCAATAAAAATGTTCAAAAAATTACTTCGAATAAAATCTTACATTAAAGGGACACTCCAGCCTGACAAGGAAACCCCCCTCCTAATGATGTATCTTGAAGGTGGGAGGAACTTTAGAAAAAAAAAACGCTTTGGGGCTGATTTTTAGGGGTGGTTTGAAATCTTTGAAATGTGTTTTCTACCTTAGCAGTAATGTTAGCTATCTGGCTTCCTTCTGCGCTCGCTGCTAGCGAGAAAAAAAAAAAAATCACATTTCAAATACAGAACCCACACATAACCCTCCATCTCTGCCTGTGGAGGGTTGAAGAGATGGAGGGTTATGTGTGCATAACACACAGAATGTTGTGGCCCCCAAAATCTGAAGTTCCTCTCTAGTCTGTTTAGAGTGTCCCTTTAAAGTTCAGAACATTTTTGTTCTTCTCCTAAAAAAGTGACCATTTCTGAGATATAAGGCTTGTTACGGCAGTGATGTGTTGTCTGACTGTCAAAGGTCTCTGGTCCACCAGACATGTGTAAATAAAGCTAATGTAATATAGTCCTGCTCAAGCTGCCTTTGTTTGTTCACATTCAGAAACTGATCCAGGCCACAGCATGCCACAGAGATGTATTTGCTTCATCAATAGAGCAGATCAATTGGATTGATACTGCTTTCTTAAAGCTGTGTGGGAGACATTGATCAGTTTGCTGCCAGGCCACGGCCCACGCTGTGGCAGTTCAGTAAATAGACAGAAAAACTCCCAGAGGCACAGGGACAGTGGCACACTCCTCCGAGGACAATATGCAAATCCTTGCCCTTAGTGGCCTTATGTAAAGGCTGTGCTTTCCCCTTAAAGAAACAAACATTTGTAATAGATAGAATAGAATAGAATATAATGCTGCTTCAGCACCTGCACACTGGCTTTTAGTATATCGGTCATTCTACAAGAAACGTCCATTTTTGTGACCCTAGCGTTTATAGATATATTACACTTAAAAAAAACATGCTAAGGTTACAATTTATGTATATTTTAAAATAAAACAATAAGCTATTTTAACAATTACACCTTCTTGAGCCAGAAATCTAGCAGTATTGGTTTTTAAATCAATTATGTAGAATTCCAGGCACCAGAGAAGAGCTTGTTCCCACAGTCATGTGTAAAGGGTGAGGCCATATTTTTGAAGAAAAAAAAACGTTTTTATGCAATTTTAACTACAATAATCTATACATGACTATGGAATATACAAATTAAATGACAAAGAAAACAAATGCCAAATAAATATTACAAAATATATAATGAAAGTTGAGGTCCCCAGCAGTCGTGTCACTGGTGTTACCGCGTAACAAAAAAATCTCTTATTTTGAAATAAAAATCACACTGATGACATCACAACATCTTTCTACCTATTTTCTGAGGATCTATGAAGACAAGCACATGGTCCAAAAAGCATACTGTGCATACCAAGTCCACTGTGTCTTTTCAGTTATCAGAGATTTTGTCATTTAGCTTATGATTTCATATGAAGCTTTTAGTTTAAGTCACTGGTGTGACCGACTTTATTCTTAGGTAATTGTGAAAAAATAGAATACAAATGGATTAAATTACATATTTTAGTGGATATTCCATGAATGACAACATGTGGTTTGATGCTCTGTAGCAGTTATGTTGTAAAATGCATTTTTCATTAAAAATGTCGCTGGTGTTACCTTTCTTATGTGTAACACCAGTGAGGACTGGTAACACCAGTGACATCTATGGATTGATAGAAAAGTGGATGTTTCTGTAGAATGACCTTTAAGCGTATTTCTTGGTAATAGGATTTCTGTTCTTTGTACAGGGAAACACATTAACATTATACAACATATTTTGTATAATCTGGAAGATTTCTATATCAGTATTCTATCCCCTGTGTACCCTGCATCTCATTTATCTACCTCAGACTCACTAATAATATCTATATCTACATCTATCTATCTATCTCATATATATATATATATATATATATATATATATATATATATATATATATATATATATATATATATACACACTTTGTAAGTGATAATTCTAAAAATCAAAAATCGAAAATAGTACTCCAGTTTATATTCTGGTACGCTTAGTGTGCATGTACTAGTATATAAAACATTAGCCCTGCGATGGACTGGCGACCTGTCCAGGGTGTATCCTGCCTTCCGCCCAATGACAGCTGGGATAGGCTCCAGCACCCCACTGCAACCCAGAAAGATAAGCGGTTTAAATGATGTGTGTGTGTGCTAGCAGCCAGAGAATTAGTGGTTTTTCCTTATATTTTTGCACTTTTAGGAGAAAATAGTAAATATGCTTGATTCTGTATGTGATTCTGTGCAAACTGCAAACTGCTAAGTGAAATGAAAACTCCATTCTATTCCACCTGACAAAGTACATTTTTTTTATTCTATATACTGGGTGTATCCTGCCTCTCGCCCAATGACAGCTGGGATAGGCTCCAGCACCCCACCGCGACCCAGAAGGACAAGTGGTTTAGAGGATGTGTGTGTGTGTGTGTGTGTATATACTGAGCTTAACAGTCATGGGTCCTAGTGCAGATGGCTTGATGCAAAACTTGTGAAATGAAAGATCCTGGAGGGAACACGAGCTGAAGAGGATGAAGCAGGTCAAAATTTGAGCTGTTACTGTAACTGCTTAAGCAGGCCCTTCAGCCTAGTGAAGCTGCCATGATCAGCATGAGAGAAAAAGAAAAAACATTTAGCTGTTAGCTAGGCTTACATGTATTTGACATAAGGCTAAGGCAAGTTCACAGGTCGCTGAAGGTCTGTAGTGGACTTAAAAAAAGAAAGAAGAAAAGCCAGAAACATGCGCTGTCCATAACTCTTATGTGTTGTGATGGCTCAGCGAGGCACTGCAATGGCTCTTGTAATTGAATAAATAACAGGGCCTAATTAGCTGTAATGCATGAGGGCTCTCCTGTGGTGCTGTTTGCCTGTAAGTCTCTGTGTGTGGGCCGTTCACAGTGTGTGGAGCAGAGGATAACTTTGTGCAATGAATTTTTTGCTTGTGTCTGTGTGAGATAGGGAGGTTGTTTAAACATGTCTATTT